AGTGGGTGCCGAACACTGTGGTCTCACCCGACAGCCCTGGGTCCCCTCGGGAGGCCCGGATGAGGGCGGAGCGAGTGCCCAACACCCTGGTCCCACGCACCAGCCCTGGGTCCCCCCGCGGAGGCCCGGATGAGGCAGGGCAGATGCCCGATTGCCAGGGTCCCACCCGCCAGCCCTGGGTCCCCCTCGGGAGGCCCCAATGAGAGCGGAGCAGGTGCTGAACACCGTGGTCCCAACCGACAGCCCTGGGTCCCCCTCGGGAGGCCCGGATGAGGGCGGAGTGGGTGCCGAACACCGTGGTCCCACCCGACAGCCCTGGGTCCCCCTCGGGAGGCCCCGATGAGGGCGAATCCGGTGTCAGATTGCCAAGGTCCCACCCACCAGCCCTGGGTCCCCCCGCAGGAGGCCCGGATGAGGGCGGAGCGGGTGCCCAACACCCTGGTCCCACCCGCCAGCCCTGGGTCCCCCTGGGGAGGCCCGGATGAGGGCGGAGCGGGTGCCCAACACCCTGGTCCCACCCACCAGCCCTGGGTCCCCCCGCGGAGGCCCGGATGAGGCAGGGCAGGTGCCCGATTGCCAGGGTCCCACCCGCCAGCCCTGGGTCCCCCTGGGGAGGCCCGGATGAGGGCGGAGCGGGTGCCCAACACCCTGGTCCCACCCACCAGCCCTGGGTCCCCCCTCGGAGGCCCGGATGAGGCAGGGCAGGTGCCCGATTGCCAGGGTCCCAAACGCCAGCCCTGGGTCCCCCTCGGGAGGCCCGATGAGAGCGGAGCAGGTGCTGAACACCGTGGTCCCAACCGACAGCCTGGGTCCCCCTCGGGAGGCCCCGATGAGAGCGGAGCAGGTGCTGAACACCGTGGTCCCAACCGACAGCCCTGGGTCCCCCTCGGGAGGCCCGGATGAGGGCGGAGTGGGTGCCGAACACCGTGGTCCCACCCGACAGCCCTGGGTCCCCCTCGGGAGGCCCCGATGAGGGCGAATCCGGTGTCAGATTGCCAAGGTCCCACCCACCAGCCCTGGGTCCCCCCGCAGGAGGCCCGGATGAGGGCGGAGCGGGTGCCCAACACCCTGGTCCCACCCACCAGCCCTGGGTCCCCCTGCGGGAGGCCTGGATGAGGCAGGGCAGGTGCCCGATTGCCAGGGTCCCACCCGCCAGCCCTGGGTCCCCCTCGGGAGGCCCCGATGAGAGCGGAGCAGGTGCTGAACACCGTGGTCCCACCCGACAGCCCTGGGTCCCCCTGGGGAGGCCCGGATGAGGGTGGAGCGGGTGCCAAACACCAAGGTCCCCCCGCCAGCCCTGGGTCCCCGCGGGAGGCCCGGATGAGGGCAGGGACCTCTGCCGCCAGCCCTGGATGGAGGCGAGCTGGCTGTTGGCACTGTCCAGCCCTGCCTGCAGTATGCAAATTAGCCGCCATCTTGGCTGGTGGTTAATTTGCATATCTCGCTAATTAGCCAATGGGAAGGGTAGCGGTCGTCCGCTAATTACCATGTTTCTCTTTTATTAGTGTAGATAGTTATTTGTGTGTGTGTGTGTGTGTCCACTAGCAGCCTTCCCCTAGCTGTACCTCAGAGGCTCCAAGCAGATACACTGTGTGTGTATGTTTGTGTGTCCACTGGGGGCCTGCCTCCCACCACCCCTCAGAGGTTCAGATCAGGCACCCTGTGTTTGTGTGTGTGTGTGTGTGTGTGTGTGTGTGTGTGTCTGCTAGGGTCCTGCCTCCAACCACTCCGCTGAAGCTTTGAGCAGGCACCCCCTGTGTGTGTGTGTGTGTGTGTGTGTGTGTGTGTGTGTTTGTGTGTATGTATCCTCTGGTGGCCTGCCCTAGGCCACGCCATGGAGGCTCAAAAAGGTACCCCTTCTGTATGTGTCCACTGGGGGCCTGCACTCAGCCACACCATGTAGGCTTGGAGCAGGCACCTCGTGTGTGTGTGTGTGTATGTGCGTGTGTGTCCTGGGGCCCTGCCTCCAGCAGTGCCATGTAGGTTCAGAGCAGGCATCTCATGTGTGTGTGTGTGTGTGTGTGTGTGTGTCCACTGGCGGTTTGTCCCCAGCCACTCCGCAGAGGCTCTGAGAAGGTGCCCTGTGTGTGTCCGCTGGAGGCCTGTCTCCAGTCACATTTCTGAGGCTCAGAGCACACGCCCTGTGTGTGTGTGTTTGTGTGTCCGCTGGAGGCCTGCCTCCAACTGCACCTCAGAGGGTCCGAGCAGGTGTACCATGTGTGTTTGTGTGTGTTTGTGTGTGTTCACGCTGGAGGCCTGCCCTCCGCTGTGTCGTGCAGGCTCCGAGCAGGCATCCTGTGTGTGTGTGTGAGTGTGTGTGTGTGTGTGTGTGTGTGTGATTGTGTATCTGCTGGGGGCCTGCTCCCAGCCACATGGAGTAGGCTGTCAGCAGGTGCGCTTTGTGTGTGTGTGTGTGTGTGTGTGTGTGTGTCCACTGGCGGCTTGTCCCCAGCCACTCTGCGGAGTCTCTGAGCAGGCGCCCTGTGTGTGTCTGTTGGAGGCCTGCTCCCAGTCACACAGCTGAGGCTCAGAGGAGATGCCGTGTGTGTGTGTGTGTGTGTGTGTGTGTGTGTGTGTGTTCACTGTGGACCTGCCCTAGCCACGCTTCGAAGGATCCAAGCAGGTGCATCGTGTGTGTGTTTGGGTGTCCGCTGACGGCCTGAATCAATTGCGCCCCAGAGGGTCCGAGCAGGTGCACCGTGTGTGTGTGTGTGTGTGTGTGTGTGTGTGTGTGTATGTCCTCACTGGGGGCCTGCCTCCAACCTCTCTCTAAGGCTCAGATCAGGCGCCCCGTGTGTGTGTTTGTGTGTTTACATGTGTATGTATGTGTGTGTTTGTGTGTCTT